CTCCTGCCTCAGACTCCAGAGTAGAGTCCCTGGGATTACAGTTGGGCACCATTGCACTCTGCTTTTCTCCTCCTTCCTTAGTGGAGTTATTTCACCCAAAGCTTAGGCACAGAAAATGCACTTGAACCATTGTTCAGGGACCTTTGTGTGTGGAAATACCATTTTATTTCTGGATTAAAAATACCATAAAGGAAGAAAAAGAAGGTATCAGATATCTACCTTCATCGATCATGAGAGAGAATCTAGAAAATGATTGTGCTTTGATATAAGTGTGTGTGCAATGGAGGGCTTTGCTGGATGGCAGGGCCATCCCTTCCTTCTGAATAAAAGAAAGCTCAGAACTTTGTAGGCTGTCAACAATACTTAATTGTCGACAATACCTAATACTTGCTTGGGCACAGGGACACATGCCTGTTATTCCAGCAACTCAGGAGGCTGAGGCAAGAGAATCACAAATTCATTGCCAGCCTCAGTCACTCAATGAGGCCAACAGGAGGATTTGGTGGGAGATTGGACAGCGTACATAAAGGAGAGTCCAGGGTATTTCTTATCAATGCTCTCTGCCTCTGAGGCTATAGGTCCTTCTACACAGTTCCATTATAGTTCCCAGGGGGACCGCTGTCCCCCGGGGCCAGGAACTCCGCCTCTCTTCTGACCTAAGAAGGCAGAGGTTTCCTGCTGCTGCGATTTTTGAGATTGTTTCACTATTCCTCTCTTGAGTGTCTTAGATTCCCCATCATCCATGAGAACAATTTCCTATAAGAAATTCTCTCTCATTTATTTATTTATTTATTTATTTTTTGTATTTCAGTACTAGGAATAAAACCTAGAGTCCCACACATGCTAGGCAAGCAGTCCACACTGAACTGTAACCCAGCCTTTTCATTATCTAAATGTGTTCTATTTTTATAGGAACCTGGTTGATCATTATCACCATCTCTATTTTATATAAAAGGAAACCAGAGCAATGCCAAGTTAACTGAATGTCCCCAAGGTCATACAACCAGTAAGTGGCAGAACAAGGCTTCAAATAGTCAGCAGGCCCCATGGACCTCACTATCATTGAACGTTGGAGATGGTCTCCACTCTACCCCAGGAAGACGCTATGTATATCACCAGTTGTCAATTGATCTCAGGACTCACTTACATTCTAAACAAATTATTAAAAGCTCCACATTTCTTTTATTTCATTTATTTACTTTTGATACTAGGAATTAAACTCAAGAGCACTTATCCACTGAGCTATATCCCCAGCCCACCCCCACACTTTTTATTGATTTCAAAAAAAAAAATAAATAAAAAGGGCTAGAGATATGGTTCAAGTGGTAGCGCGCTCACCTGTCATGCATGCTGCCTGGGTTCGATCCTCAGTACCACATACAAATAAAGATGTTGTGTTTGCCGAAAACAAAACAAAAAAAATTAAAAATTCTCTCTTTAAAATAATAAAAATAAAAATAAATGATAGCAGAATGCATTACAAGTCTTATTACATGTATACAGCACAATTTTTCATGTCTCTGGTTGTATCTCCTTACGTTGCTTAGGACCTTGCTCAGCTGCTATGTTTGATCTTGAACTTGTCATCCTCCTGCCTCAGTATCCCAAGTCACTGGAATGATAGTCATGTGCCACTGTGCCCGGCTTCCTTTCCTTTTTTTCTAAGTGGCCCAAGAAAACTTTTGGGTGTGATAAGAATTTCTGCATCTTGCTTGCAGTAATAGGTTCACAGTGTTTGTCAAAATGTTAAACCATTTAATTTAAATGGTTATACTTTATTTATATCTCAATAAGGTTGATTAAAAAATAAATTAAATGATCCTGAGGTAAAAGTGTGTCCTGTGAATTTAGGGAGTAGCAAGATGAGGGGTGAGGGGAATACAGGTTACTTATGGTCTTATGGGCCTTGGTAAGGACTTTGCTTTTAATTCTAAAGGAGATCAGAATCCACTGGGGGGTCTTGAATGGAAGGATCTGACTCACTTTGTTGCAGGAGTTGCATGATCAGTCTAGTGCTTGACTCAGTAAACAGTAAAGATTTCTTTGCTTTTCTAAGGCAACAGAGGGAAAATAGAGAAGCAGGCTGCTTCATGAAACATGAAACAATATCACCACCTAGTGGAAAAAATCTTGATTGTTATATAAACAAAACCTTAAAAATCTACTTCACAAAATATGTGAAACTACCTTTTAAGTGATTGTATTTCCCACAGAATAAAATAAATTTAGCTGTAATTTAGGACTTTTTATCTGAAGTTATTGTAAGTTAAAACAAAGTGATACAGTTTGCGAGCTTGCTTTATTTACTTATTGGTTGGGCTAGGGAACCAACTCTGTATGTTATGAGAGTACTCTATTACTCAGCATTAGTCCCAACCCTATCATTCTAATTTTTAAAAATCTTTTTTAGTTGTAGATGGACACAGTATCTTTATTTTATTTATTTATTTTTATGTGGTGCTGAGGATTGAACCCAGTGCTTGAGCAACAACCCCAGCCCCTTATCATTCTATTTTAAGAGAACCTAGGTCCAACTCCCTGCTGGAATACTGAATTAATGGTAATGATTGAATATCATTAATTAAAATAAAATTATTAAATAACTAGCTATACCAAATAAGAATGGGGGGAAAAACCCAAAACTTCAGCTGCCATTTATTAAACAGGATGTACTTTTTTAATATTTATTTTTTAGTTGTAGTTGGACACAATACCTTTATTTTATTTATTTATATGATGTGTTGAGGATTGAACCCAGGGCCTCCCACGTGCTAGGTGAACACTCTACCACTGAGCCACAATTCCCAGCCCCCAGGCTGTATTTTTGAAAAGATTGTTTTGATTCTTTTTAGTTACATATGATAGTAAAATTCATCTTGATATAATTGTTCAAGCATGGAATATATGTTATTCTAGGGCTGGGGTTGTGGGTCAGTGGTGGAGTGCTTGCCTAGCATGTGAGGCACTGGGTTCCATTCTCATCACTGTATAAAAAAATAAATAAAGATATCATGTCCATCTACAACTAAAAATGTTTAAAAATATATATCATTCTACTTAGGACCCCATTCTTATGAATGTCCATAATGGTGGGATTCACTAAGGCATATTCACACAAGGCATATTCATACATGGAAAAATAATTTTGGATTCATTCCACTGTCTTTCCTTTTCCTATCCCCCAACCCTTCCCTTCATTCCCTTTGTCTAATCTACTCAATATCTATTCTTCCCCTCTCCTGCCTTATTGTGGATTAGCTTCCCTATATCAGCAAAAACATATGACCTTAGATTTTGGGGGACTGGCTTATTTCCCTTAGCATGATAGTCTCCAGGTCCATCCATTTACTTGCAAAAGCCATAAAGTCATTCTTCTTTATGGCTGAGTAATATTCTATTTTGTATATACACCACATTTTCCCATTCATAACAGATTGTACTTTACATGAATTTCAGAATAAGGAAGTGCAGTTAAAAAAAAATAGGCAAACTGCCTTAGATCACAAAGCTCTGAGGGCAGAGTTGGGATTCCAGCCAAGCCTAGCTAATGAAAATGTAAGATTTACTTATACTGCACTACTTCTAGATTTAGAGAATGTTTCCTATTTAATAGTGCATCTGTAATGGTTGATTATCTTCCTAATAATATATGCTCATGAAGCAATCACCTTCCTATTCAGCATGTTGCTTTATCATTTTCCTTATGTGTTCTTATATTTTAAAAGAGTAGGTTGCCAGGCACAGTGGCACATGACAGCTATACCAGACAGGCTGAGGCAAGAGCATTTCAAATTCGAGGTCAGCAATGGCAACTTGGCTAGACTCTAACTCAAAATAAAAAATAAGAAGGATGTCATAAAGAAGAATGAATTATGTCATTCACTGGATGGAACTATAGAACATCATGCTAAGTAAAATAAATCAAACTCAGAAGGTCAGGATCCATATGGTTTTTATGATTTGAAGATGAGGTGCCCCCAATAGCTCATTCATGAGACAATGAAAGAATGTTTGTCCCACTCAGTCAAAAGTCAAAGGTAGACCTGGGTAGGACTCTCTGGAAACCTCCCTGGGACTCCCAATAAAACTGGAGGGCAAGAGGGGTACTCTGGCCTTCTGAGAAGACCCAATGTCTCCATTGAGAAGGTCCCTTTTTCTATCCCCTTCTAACAAACTTATGCCTGCTACTCTAAGCCACGTGTCTGAAATCTGTGTGTCATGATTCAAGAGCTGGTGAAGGGACCTCTGTGTGGCCTCAGTTTTGCAGCAGGCCCTTGCCCCCAAACACATGTATGGATATGGCGTAATGAATCCCACTATTATGTATAGTCATATGCTTAAATAAAACACATAATAAAAAGTGCTGGGGATGCAGCCCAGTGGTAGAGCACCACTGGGTTCAATCCCCAGTGTTGGAGGCAGAATGAGCAGAATGAGAAGGTTAATGAAGAAGTAATAAACCAAATTTTCCACCACCAACTGAAGCATCTCACAGACCTGAGACTCCCTATTTTAGTATTTTCATATTATCTGAAGAGCTGAAACAAACAGACTAGTCCAAGCCACTGTCTCCCAGGTAGGATGGCCCAGTCTGATTCTAATCAGCTGATTCTCGGTGGCGCATCCTTTGCACAAAACCCCGCAAGATGCTTTTAGAGCCATGATACACTAAGCTGGAATCAGACTTTGCCATCTCCTGTCTTTGCCACCACGGGCAAAGGTCCTGTTTCCTCGTTTGCAGAAAACAAGATGACCATGCCCCACCTCGCAGGGTCGTCCTAAAGGGTTAATGAAATCGTATGTGCAAGGACTGGGAGCACTGGCAGGGAATAATGGACTGGGGCGGAGTGGGGCGGGGCAGGGCGGGGAAGGACTGGGCAGGGTTCTGCCAGGCCCCGCCGGGTCTCAGCTCTGCTCCGCGAACTTCCACGCAGCCCGCGCGCAGGCAGCCGATTTGCTTTGCAGCCGTCAAGACTCTGTAGAATGACCCGGCCTCCTAGGGGTGGCGCGCCCTGATGCTTTGGGATCTTCCCGCGCACTGCGGCGCGCTCCGCCCCGGAAACACGTCTCCAGCGCCTTGGCGCGCTTTTGAAATAGTGTATATTTTGTGTCCGTTTGGCCGGCTTCTGCTGCTTGAGTGTCTGGTTCTTGTCCGTCGCACTCGCCCCCGCGACCCTGGTGCTCGGCATCCCCCTCGCCGCGCCGCGATGAGGACACGCGAGGAGGTAGACGCGACGCTGCAGGTCGCCAAGCTGAACCCCGCCGAGCTGCTGCCCACCGTGCACTGCCTGAGCTTCGGCCTGGGGGCCAGCGGCGCGGCCGCCGGCGACTTCTGCCTGCTGGAACTGGAGCCCGCGCTGTGCCAGCAGCTGGAGGCCGGACACAGGTGAGCCGGGGGCTGGGGTCCCAGGACGCCCCGCAGAGCCCGCCTGCTGCCAGCCGCCTTCGGATTATTTTTTTTACCCGGAAATTCAGGTGGAGCAATCAGGGCCAGAGAAATGCCAGCGGCTCACAGCCAGCTGGTGGCCTGATATCCTGCGTGCTGCCAACTCCCGAGAAGGATCCCCAGCCCCTGCATGGCCCTGCAGTTAGCTGGACTGAGGTGATAAATAGGATGGGTTCAGCCGAACCAGGAGGCCTGTGTCAGTGGAATTGTCGGCAACTAGAACCCCACTAAAAATTTGAAGACATTAACAGTGATGCCAGGGACTCCACAGGACACTTTGTCATTTTACTTTGTTGTTGTTCTTGTTAGGTACAAATGACAGTAGAATGCATTTTGACACACCATACATAGATGGAGTAAAACTTACCATTTTTGTGGTTGTACATGATGTGGAGTTACACTGCTCTTGAATCATATATGAACATAGGAAAGTCATGTTTGATTCATTCTGTTGCCGTTCTACTTTAAAGTACAATGATAATATCTGATCTTTACAAACGTCTTGTTTCCCACATATATTACTTTTACTCAAACGATGGATAGGACCTTTAGGGAATAAGTTAAAAGCCTTAATTATGGGGGGCTGGGGTTGTGGCTCAGCAATAGAGCGCGAGGCCCTGGGTTCCATCCTCAGCACCACATAAAAAAATAAATAAAGGTATTATAATTTTTTTTTAAAAAAGCCTTAATTATGACTTGGCAATTGAGCTAGGGCCCCAAACAGACTTGTTTGGGGTCATTTAATGGGGGCTTAAAGCTATTTCTAATTCTAGGTCAGCTGCAAATTTGCTGCCAACCTCTTGGATTAAAAAACATAATCAGGTATTTAGAGTGTTGCTCTGTGGTACAGTGCTTGATTAGCATGCAGAGGCCTTGGGTTTGCTCCCAGTACAAACAACAACAACAAAAAATAGAAGTTGGTAGTTGTGAAGGCAGCCTTGAGAAATCTAGAGAATCCTTCAATCAGTTGCTTGTCAACTTGGTGCAGTCCCAACTCCTGCAAGTTGATTTTCTTTTGTGTCACTCTTACTCCAACATACATATTTGTAGGTTCCTTTTAGTTGGGCCCTTTGGGCTGTGTTTCAATCTTCATATCTGACTCTTTCAAACAGTGTTCTAGTCAATTGACCAGTCTTTGGTATTAATCAGAGTACCCTTAAGAGAACTGAAAAGCTTCCGTTATGAGTTTCCATCTGAGTTAATGGAGATCAAAAAGACTTCAGGTATGAGAACCTTCTCTTTATCTGGTTAAGCTGACAAACTTGCGCATTTTATTGGGGATAGTGCAATGTAGAGACAAACATCAAAGGGTAGACATTTGGGCCTATTAACTTTAAGCAATAGGAATCTAAGAAACATTCTTTTCACTTAACTGACGGCTTAGTTACAAAGACAATTGCAGTCTTCTATTTTAGATTTGTAATTATTTGTTTAAAAGAAGTGAGTTGTGCACAGGAGAGTTTAATGTTCCATACACAAGGAAAACTTGGAGAATCAACTCTGTCATCATCTGGTCTTTCCTCTTCCTCCTCCTCACCTTCATCCTTATCTTTTTGCTTTTCTTCACCTGTGATAAATTCCCTTTCTCAGAGTCTTTCATTTCTATACATATCATTGTCCTATTTTTCATTCAGCATCACAGTCTTCTTTTCATAAGGCTGAGGTATCTTTGCCACATAGCTAATGGTTAGGCTAGGATGTGCTCCTTTGATTGCTCAGAACAAAACACCGAAAACATTTGAGTGGGCATCAAAGCAGTATTGTGCTTATCCTAGGTAGCTTTATAGAAATAGAGTCTTAGGTCCCATCCCAGACCTACTATATCCCAATTTGCTTTATAACCAGATTCCTATGCACATGTTTCATAAGCACAACTTTAGCCTGTTTTAGAAAGTTGTGAGACATCGACTAAAGCCTCTAGATACTTGTGGTCTTCCCAGTAGCTTGCACAAAGATGCCTTTGGGTGACATTTGGCCTCATGGCCTCATTAGTTCTTACTTGCCCATATTTAGTTATTGTTTTCCTTAGTGAGGCACCAGGCGCCTGTCTGGCTCTCACTTGGTCCAGTATTTGCTCTTTAGAATCCATGATTGTACCACAAGGCTGGACACAGCATCAAGGCTTAATTTTAAATTCTGCAAGCCAGAACATTCGGGAAGTGAGTTTAAAATGAAGATGTCCACTGGAGTCTCAATAAACCATGTTTTCATATATATATTTTTTGTTGATAGACTTTTTTTGTTTTTTTATTTATATGCAGTGCTAAGAATAGGACCCAGTGCCTCACCCATGCTAGGCAAATGCTCTACCACTAAGCCACAACCCCAGCCCTAAACCTTGTATTTTCCCTCTGTTTTCCTGCAGTCTTGTGATTCGGGGAGATAAAGATGAACAAGCTGTGCTGTGCAGTAAAGACAAAACATATGACTTGAAAATAGCAGATACTTCAAATATGTTGCTTTTTATTCCTGGCTGTAAAACTCCAGACCAGCTGAAGATGGAGGAAACACAGTGTAACATTATTCACACTGAGGTACTATTTTTTCTCCCCTCATTTATGTAAGTCTGAGGTTGATAACACAGGTGCCAATCTTTTATTAAAACTTTTGGCATAAAATGTATAATCATGGGGAATTGCAGAAGTTGTGTTATGAAATTTGTTTTTACTTTTTCATTTATTTTGGTACTGGGGATTTAACCCAAGGGCATTTTACCATTGAGCTATATATACCCAGCCCTTATTTTGAAACTGAGTCTCACTAAATTGCTGAAGTTGGCCTCAAGCTTCCCATCCTCCTGCCAAGGCCAGGTCGCTGGGATTACAGGTGTGCAACATCTTGCTTAGCCCTCTATAATGAAATTCGAAAGTTTTTCAGCATTATTATTATTTTGTTTGAAATATTGTGAACTTGTCTTTAGTTTCTCAACTTAATTATTTCTTTCTTTTCTTTCTTTTTTTTTCTTTTGTGGTACTGGGGTTTGAACTGAGGGCTTCATGCATGCCTGGCAAGTGCTCTCCACTGAGCCACATTCCCCAGCCACTAATTTGATTTTTAAGTCTCAAATTGATCTTTTTTTCTGATGTGATGACTTTGCTATTAGGTGACTCATTCAAAAAGTTTTACCTAATTTCAGTGAATTTTGTTGTGGATGTGTTTTGAAAAGAAACTCCCTCAAGTCATAACTAGTGTATGTGGAAGTAGTTACAAGGGAGAAAAGGGAAGAAAATGAATTTTTGAATGAAGTGTGCTTTAAGTGTGGTTTAGTTCATTAATATCTGCAGCCAAGTATAACAAATTTTTAATTATTTTGGAGAATACTAATGGTAGTTACCAAACAAAAGTCTCCATCCTGTCTAGGTCATTACACATGTAACAATCAAAGCATAGCTCTTAATTCTTTCAGGATGACTTTAGGCCAACTATTTTCTTAAAAGAACTGGAGAGGAAAAAAGGGAAAGTGCTGGGAAGCTTTGGTGATTCATGTGATGTTACTGGAATAGAGGAATTTCCAGTAAAATTTTTATTTTGGTTTCTGTCGGGTTACAAATCTTTCACTGTAACTAACTAGATATATTAATAGTTCATTCTTTTGTAAAAGATGTTATATTTTTCATCACTAACTTGGTTGGTTGGTGTTTTTGTGAGAACATAATAATATCTACAAGTATCTTTGAGCTCTTATTTGTTGTGGGAATTCTGGTTGATGAGACTGGGTAGAACTTAAAGATCCACTAACCAAAGCCATAATCCGTGGTAGCTCTTCCCAGTAGAGAAATGCCTAAAAGGACTAAATGAGAATGCACATCAGCAAGGCTGGGGTTGACAAATGGTAGTAGATACCCAGGAGTAGCAAATAGTGTTTGGGTCTGTGGGAAATTGGACACCATAAGCCCTAAGTAAGTGGATGGCCATTATTCAGTTGACTTGTAGGTAAGCAGGCCCAGCATTGTGATTTTTTTTTTTTCCAGTTATGCTTGAAATTTAGGTTTTGGGGATAAAATCTTCTAATTTTTTTTTTTTTTTTGGCAACTAATTTAAACATAAGGCCAAACCTGATTCCTCTCCTGTACCACACGAAACCATATGCCCACATCTGTGCCTTGGAGATAGTCAGATGGCTGCTACTTTGAACTACGGATAGACTCCATCTTTTTTGTTTGGCACCAACCTCTTCTTTTGAAGGCCTTAGATTCAGCAGCATCTCCTTCAGGCTGTAGCCTCATCTTGTCAGTCAAGCCTTTTCCTATTTTGAGAATAGAAGCATCCCCTGTCCTTCCATCTCAGAGTTGCAAGGCATCCTGGAGATAATCCAGTTTAGCTTTTTCTCCTTTCATGTAAACACTTATTGGGCATCCAGTGCTCGGCTATCCTGAAAATGTAGAGGGAAATAACATATTCATCCATCATCTAGCCTCTGTGACCTGGATTTCTTCAAGTGATAGACCTCTGTCACAAGTCCATACTGCAGTCTGGCTGGGCACAAAATAACCCAGCCACCTCAAGGCACTTGTAGGTTCAAACAGGCACTCCTTTATTTCCCCGAACTCTCCCAAACGCCACCCACATGGCCCTTCCAGGAACACCACACCAACAGGAACTCCCTCCCCCTGAACTTCTTCCGCCCGCCCTCCACTGGGCTCCACTAGAACTACTCCAGGAGAAGTCAAGGGGAACTCAATGAGAACTCAACAGGCGGTAGGCAGCAGGAGCTGGGCAGCAGGAGCCGCCCTATTGCCAGACAGCAGGGGTCCATATACAACTGAATACACAGCCTGTTTCAATCCAGCATCATCCAGTCACAGCAATTATGCATAGCTTAACTTAATTATCATCATCTTAATGGCTCCCTGGCTTCACCTCTCAATCATTCCTTCTGGTAATATGCCAGACTCTGACTCTGTTATAGCTCTCAACAAGTCCAGCAATCAAATTAGCTGTAATTCGAAATAGTAGAAATTTTTGCACTGAACAAAAGCCTCCCCAAACTGAGCAAGATAGGAGGAGGGTACCTCCTTTTCCTTTTAATATTCCTTCATTATCTGATGACTGAGATAATGTTCCTATTTTCTATTTTTCAGACTATATGTTTTCATAACTATGTTTTTCATAACCATGTTCATTTTCAGTTTACTTCTACCAGATTTGCAGAATTGTGACCATTCTGCTCATTCTATTCTGGGCAGACTTTAGTTTCTAAGACTATTCTTTTTAAAAATATTTTTTAGTTGTAAATGGATACAATACATTTATTTATCTATCTTTATGTGGTGCTGAGGATGGAACCCAGGGCCTTACACATGCTAGGTAAGCGCTCTACCCAGAGCCACAACCCCAGCCCCTCTAAGACTATTATTGAGATGTGATGCTCAGTTATTGATTCTCACTTTGTTGGCAGCATTTTCTGAATTGGACATTGAGAAAAGATGTTTGTTAAAGATATCTATCTCTACTTGATGCAACTGGATGAGTATCTTCCTGATAAAAAGTAGAATACTTTGGTTTCCTTTTTCTTTGGTTTTGGTCAGGAAAGATGGATTAGTTGGAATTTCGTATGAACTCTCTTTTAGAATGGACCCTAAGAGGTTATGATATGATTTCTAGATCTTTGGTTTTTCTAATAACTATTGGGAATTGAGAAGATGCAGACCTAAATTAAAGAAGCTAAAGAAACTTCTAATGGAAAATACCTATGAAGGACCTGACAGTCAAAAAGAAGAGGATTCAAATCGCTCAAAAGTAAGACTCCTGTTTTCATTCTTGATTTGAAATTTAGAAAACTTTTATAAGGTGCACTTCATGGTGAAATTCTTACTTTTTAAAGGTTATGAAAACTTTAAACTCATTCTGATGGACTTAAAATGGTAACTTTTCAAGGGCCATGCCACCCTGACCATACCTGAACTTTTATGATCTTGGAAGCTAAGTAGGGTTGGGCCTGGTCAGCTCTCGAATGGGAGAACACATGGGAATACTGGGTATTATAGGCTTAAAATGTACGTATATATGTAAATAAATAAATGGTATCTCATGTGGTTTTGAAGTACATTTCCCTGATGACTAATGATATTCAGCACATTTTTTCATGATTTTATTTATATATCTACTTACTTCCTTTGCCTGTGTTTTAATTATTTGTCTTTTATTTATGAACCCTTATCATATATATCATATGCAAATATTTTCTCCCATTTGGCAGGTTGTTCTTTTAATTTCTTGATGTATTTTTATTGTGATAAAATAGATACAACATAACACTTGCCATTTTAATGACTTTAAAATATAAATTCAGTAGCACTAAGTACATTCATGTTGGTGTGCAAATTAAGCACCATCTTTCTCTAGAACTTTATCATCTTCCTAATGGAGGATGTTGGGAAGATGAAACTTTGTATTCATTAAACAATGGATTCCCCAATGGATTCCTCCCTCTCCCTGAGCAATAGCAGCCACATTCTACTGTCTATCTCTGAATTTAAGTACTCTTAATACATCATATGGATGTGGAATCATATAATATTTGTTCTTTTGCATTGTTAGTGTTTTTTAAAAAATATTTTTTAGTTGTAGATAGTTACAATAACTTTATTTTGTTTATTTATTTTTATGTGGTGCTGAGGATCAAACCCAGGGCCTCACACATGTGAGGCAAGCGCTCTACTGATGAGCCACAACCCACAACCCTTGATAGTGCTTTGATACAAAAATTCATCATTTCAGTGAAGTCTGGGGATGTAGCTCAGTGGTAGAGTGCTTGCCTGGTATGCATGAGGCCCTGGGTTCAATCTCCAGCATGACAAAAAAAGAAACTATTACCAATTTCAGTGACATGAGCATTTACCTCTGTTTTCTGCTGTCTATTGATTTTGTATTATAAGCATTATTTATTAATAAAAGAAACTGGACTAGTCCATAAATATTGCCTTAATCTGTTCTATGTATTTATTTCCCAAAATTCAACAAGGAATCTAAAATATTATTCTTCAAAGCATTAAAATGTTTTTGTTTGTTTCAGTATACCACTGAAGATTTGCTTGATCGAATTCAGGCAAGTGAAGAAGAAATAATGACCCAGTTAGAAGTTTTAAATGCCTGTGAGATTGGAGGTAACATTTTTTATTATTATCATTTTTAAAGATAGATTTGGGTATGAATCGAGAAGTTTTTGGACAGCTTCACCCTGTTGCATGCTTGCTTATTTGTTTGTTTGTTTGTTTATTTATTTATTTATTCTGGTACCAGGGATTGAACCCAGGAGAGCTTAACAACTGAGCCACATCCCCAGCCCTTTTTATGTTTTATTTTGAGACAGGGTCTTGCTAAGTTGCTTAGGGCTTCACTAAGTTACTGAGGCTGGCTTTAAACATGTGATCCTCCTGCCTCAGCCTCTTGAATTGCTGAGATTACAAGTGTGAGCTACTGAGCCTGGCTATTTATTTATTTTTTTGAGACAAAGTCTCACTGAGTTGCTAAGACTGGCCTTGAACTTGATATTCTCCTTCCTCAGCCTCCCAAGTAGCTGGGGTTAAATGTGTGCACCATTTCTCCTGGCTTATTTAATCTTTTGCATTCAAATATGATAATATTAGTGACTGGGAATGTTGCTGTGTGGTAGAATGTTTGGCTAGCACGTATGAGGCGCTGTGTTTGCAACCCTAGTACCACCAAAAACTAAAAAATGAAGAAGAGGAAGAAAATAGGATGGTATTTGTCTTTTTGGGTATGGGAGAGTCTATGTGTGATCATCATACAGAAGGTTACCAGTGACTTTAACCATTCCTTGTAGCCTTTTTCTTTAGGTTAAGTGGTAATAGAAGAACCATGTTTGATTAAGAAAGGGTTTGATATATCAGGCAGTCTATTATTTTTTTTAATAGGTAAGGAAACTAAGGCCTAGGACAAAGTTTAAAAAACGACCTTGACAAGGGCTACATGTTGAGTGATAGGATGTGGCAAAGAATCCTGTATTTGAATTCCTAGTTCAAAATTAATTTAATAATCTCATTGTATTTACAAATTGCTTGGAGATGGGGCCGTGTTTCTTCTTTAATGTATTTCTAAGCATGCATTTATCATTTAAGCCTATATAAAAGATACAGGAGGGCTTGATGGAGAAACCATGCAATACCTTATTGGAGCTTCTTTTCAGCACATGGATCTGTGGTGATCCTCAGTAGATGTTTGCATGCATTCTCTTTTTTTAATTTTTAAATTATTTTTATTATTGCCAAGAGAAGCAGCTTAATTCTGTCCCCATGTGTTATGGATGAGGAAATCAGCATGCATTGGTAGATACACAATTCAATTTGCTTATAATCTTCCAATCAAGATTAACTTTTGTGAGACTGTACCCCTCAATGTGGCAAATTTTGTTGAGTAAAGCAACTTCACACAATTTAGGATTAACTGGTACCACTTAGCCCTTTGTTGTGGTTTCTTGAGACTCATTCTGTCTAGAGCGTCTAAAACAGTTTTTAATTAAGTATACTTGCTGCTAATTAGTATGGTGTATGGATGCCTTGAATGTTAGTTTTAAAAGGTGGGGGGTGGTGGCAAACCAAACCATTTATTCTTTTTTTTTTTTGGTACTAGGAATTGAACCCAGAGAGGATTTACCACTGAGTCACATCCCCAGCCCTTTTCATTATTTATTTTGGAATGAGTTTCAGTAAGTTGCTTAGGGCATTGCTAAGTTGCTGAGGCTGTCTTTGAACTTGTGATCCTCCTACTTCAGCTTCCAAAATCTCTGGGATTACAGGGGTGTGATACCGCACCCAGCTATAAACCATGTATCTTCTATAGCCCTCTACATTATTCACTGATTGCATGGGAATGGATAAAGTTTTGATAGAGGGATACATAGATTACTCCTAGCTCTCTCCTCTAGTTTTACATCACACAATTCATTTTTTAATGTTGCTTTTATTTTTTCAGTATAGAAATAGAAACCTTTTCTCTTGGAAATGGAGGACATGTGCTCAGTTTCTTTTTCCAGGGCTGGTGGTTGTGTTATCAATTATAATATGGCATTTTATATTCTTGCACAGTTACAGGGATAATATATCTCAGTGTCCAATGTTTATTTTCCTTTGCCCATACTGTATCAGAGTCTGCCATATCTCAATTGAGCTAAACATTTTTATGAATGTGAGAATATCACTGCAAAATAGCCGTGACCGGGGAATTATAACCTGGCAATGCTGCACAGCAGATTACCCTGTAGATTACCCTGGAATCTGTGACCCTCGCTTCACTTATTTGAAAATGTTTGCTAATGAAATGGCTATACCAGCTGCAGATTTCCTTACTTTCACAGAACAAGAAAATTATTGTGAGATAATAGAATATTAAATATCTTGGGGGCTGGGGTTGTGGCTCAGTGGTAGAGTGCTCACCTAGCATGCACGAGGCACTGGGTTCGATCCTCAGCACCACATAAATGTAAAATAAAGATATTGTGTCCATCTAAAACTAAAAAATAAATATTAAAAAAAAAAGAATATAAAACATCTTGAAGAAACCCAGTGTTGGTCATATAAAAAATACTATTTAAAAATCAGTTGATCTTCCCCAGGATAGAATTTTAAATGATTGAGAGGACTAGTGGTATAGCACAATGGTAGACTACGTTCTTAGCATGTATGGAGTCCTGAGTTTAATCCCCACCACCACAAAACCTGGGAGAAAAGCATTAAAAAAAAAAAAAAATTGTTTAAAGAAAATAAGACTTTTAGTGCCTTTTTTTCTTTTTTTTGAGCTTTTTTTTTTTTTTTTGCAATGGGCAAGAGAATGCTGCTGTATTAACAATCTGTTAGCTAATTAATTCACTTAATGTTTAATTCGTTTAAATGTTCTTTTGGAATTTTTAGGTTATTGGAGGATTCTTGACTTTGACTATGAGATGAAACTTCTGAATCATATAACTCAGCTGGTGGATTCTGAATCTTGGTCTTTTAGTAAAGTTCCTTTGAACATATGCCTTCAGGAACTTGGACCATTGGAACCAGGGTAAGTATTTTAATTACTTGTCCCTCCAAATTTCTTTAAGGGGAAGGAAATTCTTTTCTAGAGCAAAACTAAATCCAGGGGACAGAGTATTTGTATTTCAATATAAAAATAATTTAAATATAGAACTAAAAAGGATTTAGGAAATTTGGTAACTGGCTGAATAAATTTACATCATGTTTTCTCCTTTCTATTTTGTTTTTATCATAAAAATTTTCTATTTATTATTTATTTAAAATTTTTCATTTTTAAAAGGTAATGTTATGAGATGAAAATTATGCCTCCATCAAATATTGGGAATTCTAAAAGGAATTGTTATGTTTGAGCTATTTTACAGTCATAAAATTGTGCTCACATAATTCATGTAAAAATGTATTAGCCTGGGGCTTGGCAAGTAGCAGCTTCCCAGTATATTTTATTTAGTTCCCAATTTAAATAAAGTCTTATTTGGCATCCAAATAATTTAGTATCTCAAATCTCAAATTTTTATCTTAATTTCTAATTAGCAATGGGGTTTAAAATACAGTGTATAAAAATGTTGGTAATTTGTCAAAGATTGTTTTAAATTTTTCAGGGAAATGATAGAACACTGTCTTAAATGTTATGGGAAGAAATATACAGAAGAAGGTAGGTTTTTAAAGTATTTTAATGGGTATTTTAACTTTTGTATGTTAAAATTGGTATACCTTTCTAAAGCATGCTGGGGTTAAAAATAATAGTGGGACTATGGGAGGTGAGTGGAGGTGTATAATTCTTCCCTAGAAGTAGTATAGATGAAAAGAAAACATTAGTGCTACATTTAATTGTAAGTGGATAATTTGAAACTATCTTTTCCTTAGGTGAAGTTTATTTTGATTTGAGTTCTGATAAAATATGCAGAGCAACAGCACAAATGTTACTTCAGAATGCAGTGAAATTCAATCTGGCTGAGTTTCAAGAAGTGTGGCAACAGAGTGTTCCTGAAGGAATGATAACTAGGCTTGATCAGCTCAAGGTAATATCAGTCAAAGTTACTACCTGATTCAATAGGTGATTACTTACTAGGGGAGATAATATTTGTCTTGGGTCTGAATTTGGAGCTGATTTATTTTCCTAGACACCAAGGGGATTATAATGCCCATTGAATTCATCACAGAGACCTTTTAGAATTCCCAATACTTGATGGAGGCATAATTTTCATTTCATAACATTATCTTTTAAAAATGACTTTAAGGGTTGGAGAGCTAGCTCAATGGAAGAGCTTGTGTTAGCACTCACAAAGCCTTGAGTTTGATCCTCACCAAAAATAAATGAATCAACTAAAATGATTTTTAGTGACTTGACTAGTTATATAGCTATCACCACAATCCAGTATTAGAACACTTCCATCACCTCCTTAATATCCCTTGGGCCCATTCATAGATAATCTCTTTTCTTACCCAGTGTGTCTCATTTTATTCCATTTCTCTCCATTTCCATCACAACTGTCCTAGTCCAAACTACCAGGGTCTCCTGCATCTATAATAAAATCCCTCAGCAGGCTCCTGCACTTCTCATTTTCCCCATCTTCAGTCCCTTCCTGTGGTACTACTAGAATGAATTTTGTGTATGTATGGTGCTGGAATTCCAACCCAGGCCACTAAGCATGCTAATCTAGTGCTCTGCCATTGAACAACATCCCCAGGCCCTAGAATGATCTTTTAAAATTGCTAGTCAGATTAGATGAATGTCCTGCTTAAATCATTTTAATGATTGCCCATTGCACTTAAGATGTAAAATACAGACTTTGTATCTCGGCCTATAGGCTCCCTTTTTAAAAAAAATACTTTTTTTAGTTGTAGACGGACACAATGTCTTTATTTTATTTATTTTTATGGCGTGCTGAGGATCGAACCCTGTGCCTCAAGCGTGCGAGGCAAGCGCTCTACCACTGAGCCACAACCCCAGCCCCTAGGCCCTTTTTGATCTGCCCAAAGCTTTATGTGTTTGCTTTCTCTCTGGCTTACCACATAACAGCCTTCTTGAAGGTTTAAAGATCATTAAACTCTTATCTTACATTAGGACCTTCATATAAGGCTTTTGTTCTAGAATGATATTCACTCTAATTCCACCTGACCAACTCTTACTTATTTCTTTCTAAAAAAAATGCCTCCCATTTCCTCCTTCTGTAGTGCCCTGTAGTTTTTCCTTCATGACACTTATCCCTTAGCTTTGGAAAAGTGTTTAATTACATAGTTTCTCACTGTCTGCTTTGATAGCATTTTGTTTATTGTTGCTTGCCCATATGGGGCATTCTGCCTGGGATGTAGTATATTTAATAAGTATTTGGAAAATAAATGAAAGAATTTATTCCATATTTATAAAGTTCCTCTTATGTGTAGGTACCAAACTAGATGCTAACCACCATACAGGTGCTAAGAGCTGGCCTGGGAATTGGCAATGGTGGGGTGCACATTTCATGAGTAAATCTGTTCTTACAAACAGTGATTGTTGCCACCGAAAACGCATGCACAGAATGTATGAGAGCAAAGAAAAGGAGTCAATCAGATGATTGTTAGAAGTAATAGATGCTTTACTTGCTGGGTATGGAAGGATGAACTTTTTCTTTCTAGGTAGGAAGGGCAGAGACAGGTACCAAGAGAGTATTTTCAAAGGTATAGAAGTATAAAAATTGGGGTACCAGGCTGGGGATGTGGCTCAAGCGGTACCGTGCTTGCCTGGCATGAGCAGGGTGCTGGGTTCGATCCTCAGCACCACATAAAAATAAAATAAAGATGTTGTGTCCACCGAAAAACTAAAAATAAATATTAAAAAAATTCTTTCTCTCTTTCTCTCTTTAAAAAAAAATTGGGGTACCGTTAGTATGGATAGTGGCTAAGTGAAGGGTGCTGGCAAGATAGTTAGGGACACTATGGATTGTGCAAAAAACCCTTCACTTCTAAAGATCTGGGGCCATTCAGTGACATTGGTTAGAAGAGTTGCCTCATCAAGTGCTTATCAGATTTGCCTTTTGGAAAGAATATAAGTTGAGTGTCCTTACCTGAAAAGCTTGGGACCAGGACTGTTTCAGATTTCAGGATTTTTCAGATTTTGGAATATTTGCATAAATTCTTCAGGTTGAGCATCTCTAATCCAAAATCCCAAATGCTCCCAAATCCAAAATTTGAAACTTTTTGAGCATTTTTGATTAGAGATGTTCATCCTGTACTATAACAATAAAGAAGTTAGATGGATGGAAGTTTGGATAGATTATGAAAAAGAACATTCCAGGCCTTCTGCACTTAAATACTCCTGTTTAAAAGAGTGTTGGCCAAAGAAATAGGCAATAGGGAATGGATAGAGAAATCTTGAGGCTCTAAATCTACAGGATTTGTTAACCACTTAGGTTTGGGGTTTGAACAGTAAAATCTACGATGATACCTAGGTTTCCTATTTTCCTAGCATACTGGGTCTATAGCAGAGTGGGATGATAAACAACATGAGCTCATCTGTAAATTTGGATATAGAAGTCTGGGTCTTGGAAAGACATTGGAGTGGGAGATACAAATGTTAGTCATTAGCAGGTAATGCCAGGCCACAGGTTAATATGAGGTTACCCAGAAGAGTGACAGTGAAAGAGGTAATGGGGTCAGGATAGAGGCCCAGGGAACTACCATATCAAGTAATGCAGAAAATAAGAGAGTGATGTCAGTGATGACTCTTTTATCTACTCAATGATGACTGCTTTTTCTATAAGAGTAGATAAAGGAGTCATCAACATTAACTAGAAGCAGTGGGTCAGTAAGATGAATTCAGAAAAAGAGCCCACTGGATTAGGCAAGGACAGGTCACTGGTGACCTTAATAACTAAAGCTGTCTTGGGCTAGGGATGTAGCTCAATGGTATGGTACTTGGCTAGCATGAGCAAGGCCCTGGGTTTGATCCTCAGCACTATTAAAAAGAAAAAATAACTAAAGTTACTTTAATAAATTGGTGGTAGTAGAAGCTGGAATACAAGGAGAAGAGATGACTGCTTAAAGGAACTCTTTTCATAAAAAAGACTATTATAAATCCCTGGATGGTTCGTGTAAGTTTCTTGTAGCTTACTTTTTTAATACTATGGGCTAAGCTAAATCTAGTGGTAAAAGAATGAGTCATGTTTGAATATTAGATCATTACTTTAACTGCCATTTTTTGTTGTTGTTGTTGTCATTTCTTATAGGGTTTAGCACTGGTGGATAGACACTCAAGACCAGAAATCATATTTTTGCTGAAAGTAGATGATTTACCTGAGGGAAATCAGGAACGTTTTAATAGTCTATTTTCTCTAAGGGAGAAGTGGACAGAAGAAGACATTGCTCCATATATCCGGTAAGTAATTTATGAAAAGTGGATTTTGAGGGTCGTTCTTTTTACAAAGAGTGGCATAGCATTTTAGATTTATTACCAGGACTGTTATTTTGCATTCCCTGAGAACACTGCTTCCCTCCATACTTGCTCAGGTAGTCTCCATGATTACTGGTCCTGGAGGTGGCATATGTGTTAGCTTTGTTCCTTACAACTCCTAGAACACTTCTGCTCTCCTTCCTACAAAATTATAGTTCTTTGAGGGACAGAATATATACCTCACTAAAACTCTAATCACCTCTCTTTGCCACCTATTTATTGCCTTACTTTTTAACATTTTGGTAGAAGCCAAACTGCAGCAGAATGTGTTAACCCTGAGTCACTGTTTAGAGGATCTCAAGTGCACCGACACTTGAGATCCACTAACACTATGGCTTCATCCCTGTGTGTCACACCTAATAGATCATCTCTCTTCTGTTTACCCAGCTTGGATTCTGTGGCCAGTGTCTCTAATGCCTGCTGTTTATACTCTCTTACTGTGCCCTCTCTTCCTCATACGGCTCTGGTAAAAATCTACAAAGATTTAATACAACTTTCTGCTTATTCCATACCTATACCTGGGCAGCTAAAATTTCTCAGAGAGAACATAATGGGGCTATCACTTTTGGTTAAAAATGTAAGTAGAGTAGCTGGGATCGTAGCTCAGTGTGGTAGAGCGCTTGCCTAGCATGTGTGTCGCCCTGGATTGGATCCTCAGCACTGCATGTAAATAAATAAATTAAATAAAGATTCATCGACAACTAAAAAAAAAAAAAAAGGAATGTAAGTGAAACTGGATGCAGTGGCACATGCCTGTAATCCCAGCAATTTGGGAGACTGAGCCAGGAGGATTGTAAGTTCAAGGGCAGCTTCAGCAACTCAGTGAGGTCCTAAGAAACTTAACAAGACCCTGTCTCAAAATAATAAATAAGGGGTGGGAATGTGGCTCAGTGGTAAAATTGCCCCTGGGTTTCATCCCTGGTCCCCCTTCGTCTACCCACAAAAATGTAAGAGGAATTTACCAAAGCCCCTGGCTAGGCACCATTTCTTCATTGAAATTGTTCTACTGTTGGAACTTCAATTACATCTTTTTCTATCTCTACACACCAGCAATATCTCCTGTTTCTTCTTTGCCCTCAGCTTAGGAACTTCTTTATTTTACAATTTTTATTTTTTCATGGTATTAGGGACGGAATCCAGTGGTACTCTACCACAACTACGTTCCCAACCTATTTTTATTTTTTGAGACAGGCTCTCTGCAAGTTGTTCAGATTGGCCTCAAACTTGCTGTTCTCCTGTCTCAGCCTCTCAAGTTGCTGGGATCATAGATGTATGCCATTGTGCCTAGTTTATGCTTATGACATTATTTCTTGAAGACATCAGAGCAATTAGACAGAGCCACCTGTTTTAGTCAGGTTTTTTTTTTTTTTTTTGGCTGAGGTAACTAAAAGATCTAACCAGAACAATTGTAAAGGAGAAAAAGTTTTTTTAAGGGCTCATGGTTTCAGAGGTCTCTTTGTTTTTTTTTTTTTTTGGTTGTTCAAAACATTACAAAGATTGCAGAATCACATCGGTTAAACATCCACATTTTTACATAATGCCATATTAGTAACTGTTGTATTCTGCTACCTTTCCTATCCTCTACTATCCC